ACAACTTACTACACTGTTCATTTAAACATCCCGGTAAGTAAAACTTACTACACTGTTCATTTAAACATCCAAGTAAGTAAAACTTACTACACTGTTCATTTAAACATCCATGTAAGTAAAACTTACTACACTGTTCATTTAAACATCCAAGTAAGTAAACTTACTACACTGTTCATTTAAACATCCAAGTAAGTAAAACTTACTACACTGTTCATTTAAACATCCAAGTAAGTAAAACTTACTACATTCTAGGTGAAGAACTTCATAACTTTATTTTACATTTTACTCTACACATAGGTAAGTTTTTCATGAAGGGTCAGCTGAGTTTTGGTCAGTTGAGATAAATACACTACCATCAGCAGATCCTAAAAGAGAAAAGAAAAAACAAAAAAAAGGTTTAAGAACATGTCCACTACACCAGTGGTTCCCAACTTTTTTTTCCCAAAGAAAGGCCAGTTAATTCCGACCCCAAGATCATACAGACTAGCCCCACTAGCAGTGAACAGAGCAAAACAATGCAATATACAGAGTCCAGCAGTAATGAATTGTAGAAAAACTAACTCGTTCAAGTCATTACTCCCCAAAAAGGGGAGGTTAAGATATTATGTCCCCCAAAAGTCGAAACCTCCCTTTATTGAGGGGGTTATTTATCTAAGTAATCAACTTCCACATGTATAAACCCTGTGTTGTGATATTTTATAGCTCAAAACTTAGTTTGGCCCATGGACATTCAATAATTTTATGTACATACAACTGAGAGAAATAGTCACATAAACTCTGAAAGGATGTACCAAAAGTTAAGAGATTTCCTCCATCTAGTTGGAGCTGGTGACAAAATCTTCACCATTTATTCTAAGATAAAGACTCATAAGCTTTTAAAAAATCTGTTTACACCAAATGCTATGATTGATGGAAAGCATATAAGGTATGTTTTCACAATCTAACCTCACATGGCAACAAACTAGAACCTTTACTGAGTACACTTCTCCTGAACTGAGCTCAGACTTGGTAGTAAATGGAAGATATTAGTTAACTATTGTTATTCAAAGCAGTAATTACCTTCATGTTTGAGTTCAGCATCTCTTGGAACTCCTCTGGATTCATCTGAGGGACACTCTGTACCATATCCATCAAAGCTCTGCCAACAGAATTATCAGCTTGAGTTCTTCCAGCCTACAGGAACAAAGAAAGTCAGAATATTTTAAAACATAAAACCAGACATCACACTACTCATTGTTAGCAACATACACTGAGTGGTCACAAGTAAATAGACACCTAATTTTTCATCACTTAACT